GGATTCGCGGTTTAGGTCCTGGGTTCGATTCCTGGGGAGACCCCCGAATTAGTCGGGAGCGCGAGATTATGGCTAGCTGCTGAGATGTGGAGTTGATGTCGCAGTTGATGGACCAGATTCGCATGCTGGATTGGTGGCGATTGCCGAACCCTCCGTCTCTTCGGTTGTTCGGGTGAATGGATGAGGAGGGGCCCTAGACGGCTGGACCCGCCGCCTTGGACTTACAGTTCGTATGGCGAAGTACAGTGTGGTAGCGGTGGATGGTGCTATAAGGTGATAAATGATCGTAGAACTGACAATGTGATAAAGCGGCCCAGAAGCCTCCCACTCTGTAACATTACAATTAAATAAGTCCCGCGCACACGTGGTGGAACGGGGTGAAAGAGCCTGGAGACTGCCTTGTGTATCCTAATCCTGTTGGCCGTGTCGTAATCCTTATCATGAAGCTGTATCGCAATGTAATCGTGTGACTGGTTCAGTAACCTTAATTTTGGCTGGGGGGTCCCCCAAGGGTGCCGTGACACGGAAACACACACTGCCATACAGGCGCGAGGCGGTGGCTATGCAAGTGCGTATGTTAACCCCTATAAACCCCTCCAATTTTACAGCGGGTACATGATGAACTGAAGTAAAACTATAAATAAAAAAAGCTGTACACCCTGACCATTTCTGCAGTACCGTGCATTATCGCACGGCAGGAAGAGTTTAAGCAGGATACCGCGTTTAAACACCTTGATTCAAGCATCTACAGATGGCGCGGCAATCGCCGCATACGATCAAATGGAGGGGCTGGCGAACCAGCCGACAAAACACATGCTTTGCAAGGCAGTAGTGCGCATGACAGTGAAGCGGCGCTCGGGAGTCAGTGTGCAGAGTCGCAAGGAGCCTGTATTAGCTGGCTGCTGAAAAGGCCTCTCGAGATGCTGGTGGACGCGCTTAGCGCGTATTTATTCCTTTTCGCTGGGGGACTCAGGGACTGTGATGGCCACAAAACGCAGCGCAAGGATTTTTGCTGAGTCTCGGGAGGGGTTGCTGTCACACGAGAAGATACGGCGAGTCGTGCTGCAGCGGGTGGTCGTAGGGAAAGTGCAGGTTTGTCGGAAGCGGCAATCACGAAGGAGCGGTTTGGGCTGCTCAGCCTCATTTCTGGGGGAACCATCAGCAGTGGCACAAGCAATGTTGGACGAGCGGCTGTTCCAGAAGGATAGGCACAAGGACGCGACCGATCAAGCAGTGATGCCGTACTTCAAGCAGGAGTGGTGGCAACAAGGTTGGGCGTTGCACAGGAGTTGATATACTAATGGGCCACCGATTCTGTTACACGGTAATGTTGGGGGATGGCAGGCGGGAGAAATTTCCTACGACCTACACACCGATTTATTGCTCCGCGTTACAGTAGCCAGCCAATAGCTTGGCTGGGTAGTAACAAACCGCTTGCGAAACCCCCTCCCAACACCAACCTATTGTGAATGTTGCAATAGTCGCTAAAAGTAATGAAAGTTACCTGTTTGCACCGTTAAAACCTTCAGGCCCAAACAGGGCCAAGAGGGCCAAAGACCAGTGACCCACCCAAGGCCAGCAACAACTGCATCGCGGCAATCCCTGGATTGCTTGGGTGGGTGGAGGGAAAACTAGAGGTCACTGTCCCAGCACACCTCTTGGTAATAGTCAGAACAAGGGCGGTTAAAGAACCAATGCGCCTGTGGGACCCAAATAGAAGCTTGGCATCCCTTGCTGTACTGGGTCGTATGATGTTGTTACTGGGTGGTATAGCTTCACCAGCGGCCCCCTTTCCCGAGGCAGTTCCCTGCTCTCCCCTGCGAGAGGGGCGCCCTTATCCATTCACCCCATCCGACTTCAGAATGTATTCGTTGGGTTCAGCAACTCACCATCAGCATCCAACCCAATCTAGCGGATAAACGGTGCAACAATTTAGTTCCTGGTCAGCGCGCATATTGCTATAATCACATCCAACACCGTCCACAAAATGGTCCATCTCCCCTCACACACCGAAACACAGGCAGTCAAATTTGAACCCGGAACTACCGGGAGCAGAAATCATGCAATAATCTCTG